TAGACTGTAAACTCAACTTCCAGACTCACATAAAGAATCTCCAATCCAAAGTTAAATCTAGAATCGGCTTCCTATTTCGCAACAAAGCCTCCTTCACTCATGCTGCCAAACATGCCCTCGTAAAACTGACTATCCTACCGATCCTTGACTTCGGCGATGTCATTTACAAAATAGCCTCCAACACTCTACTCAGCAAATTGGATGTAGTCTATCACAGTGCCATCCGTTTTGTCTCCAAAGCCCCATACACTACCCACCACTGTGACCTGTACGCTCTTGTTGGCTGGTCCTCACTACATGTTCGTCGTCAAACCCACTGGCTCCAGGCCATCTATAAATCACTGCTAGGCAAATCCCCGCCTTATCTTAGCTCATTGGTCACCATAGCAGCACCCACCCGTAGTCTGCGCTCCAGCAGGTATATCTCACTGGTCATTCCCAAAGCCAACACCTCCTTTGGCCGCCATTCCTTCCAGTTCTCTGCTGCCAATGACTGGAACGAATTGCAAAAATCTCTGAAGCTGGAGACTCTTATCTCCCTCAATAACTTTAAGCATCAGTTGTCAGAGCACCTTACCGATCACTGCACCTGTACACAGCCCATCTGAAATTAGCCCACCCAACTACCTCATCCCTATATTGTTATTTATTTTGCTCTTTTGCACCCCAGTATCTCTATTTGCACATCATCTCTTGCACATCTAGCATTCCAGTGTTAATACTATTGTAATTATTCTGCACTATAGCCTATTTATTGCCTTACCTCCATAACTTGCTACATTTGCACACACTGTATATATATTTTCTGTTGTATTTTTGACTTTATGTTTTTTTACCCCATATGTAACTCTGTGTTGTTTTTATTGCACTGCTTTGCTTTATCTTGGCCAGGTCGCAGTTGTAAATGAGAACCTGTTCTCAACTGGTTTACCTGGTTAAATAAAGGTTAAATAAAAAAAATAAAAAATAAAATAGTGAAGGTGTAAACTTGGCAGTAGAAAACCTAAACAGTATATTTGACCTCTCAGCTTCCCTATCAAATCTAAAAATCTCTAACAGAAAACCGAAGAAAAGTAACAACAATGACAAATGGTTTGATGAAGAATGCAAAAACCTAAGAAAGAAATTGAGAAACCTATCCAACCAAAAACATAGAGACCCAGAAAACCTGAGCCTACGACTTCACTATGGTGAATCACTAAAACAATACAGAAATACACTACGGAAAAAGAAGGAACAGCACGTCAGAAATCAGCTCAATGTCATTGGAGAATCCATAGACTCCAACCAATTCTGGGAAAATTGGAAAACACTGAAACAAACAACACGAAGAGCTATCTATCCAAAACGGAGATGTATGGGTAAACCACTTCTCCAATCTTTTTGGCCCTATAACAAAGAACAAACGGCAAAAAAATATACATGATCAAATGCAAATCTTAGAATCAGCTATTAAAGACTACCAGAACCCACTTGATTATCCAATTACATTGAATGAACTACAGGACAAAATACAAACCCTCCAACCCAAAAAGGTGTTGATGTGGCGTTGATGGTATCCTCAATGAAATGATCAAATATACACACCACAAATTCCAATTGGCTATTCATAAACTCTTTAACATCATCCTTAGCTCTGGTATCTTCCCCAATATTTGGAACAGCAGACTAGTTCATTTCCTCAGTGAAAACAATGTACTGAGCAAATGTCAAATTGGCTTTTTACCAAATTACTGTACGACAGACCACGTATTCACCCTGCACACCCTAATTGACAAACAAACCAAAACATAGGCAAAGTCTTCTCATGCTTTGTTGATTTCAAAAAGGCTTTTGACTCAATTTGGCATGAGGGTCTGCTATACAAATTGATGGAAAATGGTGTTGGCGGAAAAACATACGACATTATAAAATCCACGTACACAAACAAGAAGTGTGAGGTTAAAATTGGCAAAAAAACACACACATTTCTTTCCACAGGGCCGTGGGGTGAGACAGGGATGCAGTTTAAGCCCCACCCTCTTCAACATATATATCAACGAATTGGCGAGGGCACTAGAACAGTCTGCAGCACCCGGCCTCACCCTACTAGAATCTGAAGTCAAATGTCTAATGTTTGCTGATGATCTGGTGCTTCTGTCACCAACCAAGGAGGGCCTAAAACAGCACCTAGATCTTCTGCACAGATTCTGTCAGACCTGGGCCCTGACAGTAAATCTTAGTAAGACAAAAATAATGGTGTTCCAAAAAAGGTCCAGTTGCCAGGACCACAAATACAAATTCCATCTAGACACCGTTGCCCTAGAGAACACAAAAAACTATACATACCTCGGCCTAAACATCAGCACCACAGGAAACTTCCACAAAGCTGTGAATGATCTGAGAGACAAGGCAAGAAGGGCCTTCTATGCCATCAAAAGGAACATAAAATTCGACATACCAATTAGGATCTGGCTAAAAATACTTGAATCAGTTATAGAACCCATTGCCCTTTATGGTTGTGAGGTCTGGGTTCCGCTCACCAAACAAGAATTCACAAAATGGGACAAACACCAAATTGAGACTGCATGCAGAATTCTGCAAAAATATCCGCTGTGTACAACGTAAAAATATCAAATAATGCATGCAGAGCAGAATTAGGACGATACCCGTTAATTATCAAAATCCAGAAAAGAGCCGTTAAATTCTATAACCACTTAAAAGGAAGCGATTCCCAAACCTTCCATAACCTACAGAGAGATGAACTTGGAGAAGACCTGGGCCAGGGGCTCTGTTCACAAACACAAACAGACCCCACAGAGCCCCAGGACAGCAACACAATTAGACCCAACCAAATCATTACATTTACATTTTAGTCATTTAGCAGACGCTCTTATCCAGAGCGACTTACAGTTAGTGAATACATTATTTTTTTTATATACTGGCCCCCCGTGGGAATCGAACCCACAACCCTGGCGTTACAATCGCCATGCTCTATCAACTGAGCTACATTCCTGCCGGCCATTCCCTCCCCTACCCTGGGCCAATTGTGCGCCGCCCATGAGTCTCCCGGTCGCGGCCGGCTGCGACAGAGCCTGGATTCGAACCAGGATCTCTAGTGGCACAGTTAGCACTGCGATGCAGTGCCTTAGACCACTGCGCCACTCAGGAGAAGATCATGAGAAAACTAAAAGAAAATTACTTGACACATTGAAAATAATTAACAAAAAAACAGAGCAAACTAGAATGCTATCTGGCCCTAAACAGAGAGTACGCAGTGGCAGAATACCTGACCACTATGACTGACCCAAATTCAAGGGGGGGAGAGCAAAATATTTCACAAAATCACTTTGATTGCAGTCAAATTATGCCGTCAAAATGTGAGGCCACAAAATGTGTGTATGTGAGTGCGTGGCATGCGAGAAGATGATTATGGTGGGCTGTGAGTCACAGGAGGCTGCTGAGGGGAGAACGGCGCATTATAGTCGGAACGGCGCAAATGGAATGGCATCACCATGGAAACCATGTGTTTGATGTATTTGATACCATTCCACTGATTCCACTATAGTCATTATCACAAGTCCGTTCTCCCCAATTAAGGTGCCACCAACCTCCTGTGCAGTGAGTGTACTATATAGCAGGGTTGTATTTGGGATGCTATGGGCAGGGAGTGTGCCTAGGCCTCGGGGGTAAAATGGCTATTGGGCAGGGGGAAGTGTAGGGCTTGATTTGGAATACAGAAAGTCTCCTTTCCTCATGTTCAAATCCCCAAATACATGATGTCCCTGCCGTCCCAAATGTATCCACAAGGGGGAGACATATATAACCTTTAGGCACTGGTCATAGTTTGGCTATTTCCCCTGGCGTCATCACCGCCCTGGTCATTGCTAGAAGGGATACAACTTTTGTCAAATTAACGTCAAAAGTAGATTTTTTTGTACATTTTAGCTATCTCTTTTCCAAAACTAAACCTAATTATACTAACCTGCTACGAAAAGTCTTCATCTGACAAAAGCTGTGTCCATCTACTCAAAAACCCTCTGCTCCCCTCCTACTTTTGTTGGTCCGCGAAGAAGTCGCAAGATGGTTGACATCGCTTGGAAGTATGCTCCCTTCCTCAACATGAAGTCGTGAGTGTGGAAGTAAGCGAGGGAGGCACCATCGGCCGTTTGTTTTTATTCGAGTTATTTTTTACTTTTAATTTCTCCAAACAACATCCATTTCATACCGCGTCGTCTGTCCCAGAGTTGGGTTTGCGAGTTGCCGCGCCGGGGACCCAGCTAGCTAAATGAGCTACATCAGTTAACGTTAGCCATCTAGCTGTTAGCTAGTTATTTTGTATTCACATTAGCCAGCACATGCAATTTGAACTAGTCTAACGGTTAATATAAATATGTTAACTCTCAGATTAAGAATTACTCGGTCGTCATGTTCGCTAATTCGCAGCGTTTCTTCATATGAATCAGGATTATAACTTTGGAGTTGGAAGCATCGCCCAAATCCTAACATAACTATAGCTAGCCATAGTCAGCTGCCAAGAACATTTCAGGTTCGTTAGATAGTTAAAGGAGTTAACTAGCTAAACTGTAGCTGCTTTGCTGGCAGTTTACCACGATACTGCTAGGGATGGACACACACGACCAAATGTAGAAGATTGGCTTGGCACACTAGCTAGTTAGCTACGTTAGTCAAATTGCTAACCAACTTGGCTGCTGAAAAATTTACTAACTTACTAGCGAACTAGCTGTTGGAACGTGAACCTCTCGACCTGGCCAACTAGCTTGCTAGGCTATGCTAGGCTAGCAGGGTTGGTCACTCGTCGTGTCAGAGTTGCGGTGGCAACTAGCTAGCGGCAACAACAGTCGTGTGGTCAGTAAGTCACATCGTTAAGAGAGACAAGTTAGCTAGCCGCCTGGTTCTAGCTAGCTACCGTCTCGACCCTCACATCAGCTATCACCACGGCGTTCAGAACGTATCCCGAGCCCTCCCCCGGCCAGACCCACCGGCTCAACAACACCGGGATGGGCGTGCAGGGCTTCCAGGAGTATCTGGAGAAACGGTGTCCCGGGGCTGCGGTCCCCGTGGACCTCCTCAAACTAGGCCGTACTGTGGGACGCCAGCACCCGCACCATCACCCCGGCCCTCTGCCCCCTCCACCTCCGGCCCGGATACTCATCGATGCTGACTCCGGCCTGCAGCGGCTGTACGGCGGTTACCAGACGGACTGGGTGTGCGGCGGGGAGTGGAACGCCATGCTGGGATACCTGGCCGCTCTGTCCCAGGCCTGTCTGTACCAGGGTGGGCTAGAGCTGGTCGTGGTGTTCAACGGGACCCTGGGGAAGGAGCGGTGGCCGGAGTGGGCGCGCCGGGCCCAGGGGCAACGCCAGACGGCCCAGCTCATCGTTAACCATGTCGGCAGTAAGGCCACCCCGCCTCCCCGCGCCTGGTTCCTGCCCCCGGCCTGCCTCAGTCACTGTGTCCGCCTCGCCATGTTCCGCTTCAGAGTGCGGGTGAGTAACGAGCAGTAGCTGGCTAGCTAAGAATGATGATGATATAGCAGGCAAACACTAAACAAGACTCTGGTTTCAGGACTGATAATGACGAGGACAGTGCTTGAATCGGGCTAACCCCCTCCTGGTGCCAACTTACTTGATGAGCGACTCAGAGGTGATGGGGAGAGATAGCTAGTGTCTGCTATCTCTATGGCTTTAGTCGTTATCTATCAAATGTAGTGATTTAAGACGGAACAGTCAAGAGGCAGTGCTTGAACCAGCGAATGTGGTAGTTAGAGGCAGGGCTCTACAGGTGACGTTTTTTACAAGGAGCAAATCAAATCAAAGCAAATTTTATTGGTCACATGCGCCGAATACAACAGGTGCAGACATTACAGTGAAATGCTTACTTACAGCCCTTAACCAACAGTGCATTTATTTTTAACAAAAAAAGTAAAAATAAAACAACAACAAATTAAGTGTTGAGAAAAAAAAGAGCAGAAGTAAAATAAAATAACAGTAGGGCGGCTATATATACAGGGGGGTACCGGTGCGGGGGCGTAATATGTACATGTGGGTAGAGTTAAAGTGACTATGCATAAATAATTAACAGAGTAGCAGCAGCGTAAAAGGATGGGGTGGGGGGGCAGTGCAAATAGTCCGGGTAGCCATGATTAGCTGTTCAGGAGTCTTATGGCTTGGGGGTAGAAGCTGTTGAGAAGTCTTTTGGACCTAGACTTGGCACGCCGGTACCGCTTGCCGTGCGGTAGCAGAGAGAACAGTCTATGACTAGGGTGGCTGGAGTCTTTGACAATTTTGAGGGCCTTCCTCTGACACCGCCTGGTATAGAGGTCCTGGATGGCAGGAAGCTTGGCCCCAGTGATGTACTGGGCCGTACGCACTACCCTCTGTAGTGCCTTGCGGTCGGAGGCCAAGCAGTTGCCATACCAGGCGGTGATGCAACCAGTCAGGATGCCCTCGATGGTGCAGCTGTAGAATTTTTGGAGGATCTGAGGACCCATGCCAAATCTTTTCAGTCTCCTGAGGGGGAATAGGCTTTGTCGTGCCCTCTTCACGACTGTCTTGGTGTGTTTGGACCATGATAGTTCGTTGGTGATGTGGACACCAAGGAACTTGAAGCTCTCAACCTGTTCCACTACAGCCCCGTCGATGAGAATGGGGGCGTGCTCAGTCCTCTTTTTTTTCCTGTAGTCCACAATCATCTCCTTTGTCTTGGTCACGTTGAGGGAGAGGTTGTTGTCCTGGCACCACACGGCCAGGTCTCTGACCTCCCCCCTATAGGCTGTCTCATCGTTGTCGGTGATCAGGCCTACCACTGTTGTGTCGTCGGCAAACTTCATGATGGTGTTGGAGTCGTGCCTGGCCATGCAGTCATGGGTGAACAGAGAGTACAGGAGGGGACTGAGCACGCACCCCTGAGGGGCCCCCCTGTTGAGGATCAGTGTGGCAGATGTGTTGTATGCAAATTGGAGTGGGTCTAGGGTTTCTGGGATAATGCTGTTGATGTGAGCCATGACCAGCCTTTCAAAGCACTTCATGGCTACAGACGTCAGTGCTACGGGTCGGTAGTCATTTAGGCAGGTTATCTTAGAGTCCTTGGGCACAGGGACTATAGTGGTCTGCTTGAAACATGTTGGTATTACAGACTCAGTCAGGGACATGTTGAAAATGTCAGTGAAGACACTTGCCAGTTGGTCAGCACATGCTCGGAGTACACGTCCTGGTAATCCGTCTGGCCCTGCGGCCTTGTGAATGTTGACCTGCTTAAAAGTCTTACTCACATCGGCTACGGAGAGCGTGATCACATAGTCATCCGGAACAGCTGGTGCTCTCATGCATGCTTCAGTGTTGCTTGCCTCGAAGCGAGCATAGAAGTGGTTTAGCTCGTCTGGTAGGCTTGTGTCACTGGGCAGCTCGCGGCTGTGCTTCCCTCTGTAGTCTGCAATAGTTTTCAAGCCCTGCCACATCCGACGAGCATCAGAGCCGGTGTAGTACGATTCAATCTTAGTCCTGTATTGACTCTTTGCCTGTTTGATGGTTCGTCGGAGGGCATAGCGGGATTTCTTATAAGCGTCCGGGTTAGAGTCCCACTCCTTGAAAGCGGCAGCTCTACCCTTTAGCTCAGTGTGGATGTTGCCTGTAATCCATGGCTTCTGGTTGGGGTATGTACGTACGGTCACTGTGGGGACGACGTCATCGATGCACTTATTGATGAAGCCAGTGACTGATGTGGTGTACTCCTCAATGCTATCGGAAGAATCCCAGAACATATTCCAGTCTGTGCTAGCAAAACAGTCCTGTAGCTTAGCATCTGCGTCATCTGACCACTTTTTTATTAACCGAGTCACTGGTGCTTCCTGCTTTAGTTTTTGCTTATAAGCAGGAATCAGGAGGATAGAGTTATGGTCAGATTTGCCAAATGGAGGGCGAGGGAGAGCTTTGTACGCGTCTCTGTGTGTGGAGTAAAGGTGGTCTAGAGTTTTTTTTTTTCCCTCTGTTTGCACATTTAACATGCTGGTAGAAATTAGGTAGAACGGATTTAAGTTTCCCTGCATTAAAGTCCCCGGCCACTAGGAGCGCTGCATCTGGATGAGCGTTTTCCTGTTGATTTATGGCCTTGTACAACTCATTCAGTGCAATCTTAATGCCAGCATTGGTTTGTGGTGGTAAATAGACAGCTATGAAAAATATAGATGAAAACTCTCTTGGTAAATAGTGTGGTCTACAGCTTATCATAAGATACTCTACCTCAAGCGAGCAAAACCTCGAGACTTCCTTAGTATTTGATTTTGTGCACCAGCTGTTGTTTACAAATATACACAGACCGCCACCCCTTGTCTTACCGGAGTCAGCCGTTGTATCCTGCCGATGTAGCGTATAGCCCGCTAGCTGTATGTTATCCATCTCGTCGTTCAGCCACGACTCGGTGAAACATAAGATATTACAGTTTTTTATGTCCCGTTGGTAGGATAACCGTAATCTTAGGTCATCCAATTTGTTATCCAATGATTGAAGATTGGCTAATAGGATTGATGGGAGAGGCAGTTTACTCGCTCGCCGTCGGATCCTTACAAGGCACCCCGACCTACGTCCACGATATCTCCGTCTCTTCCTCACGCGAATGACGGGGATTTGGGCCTTGTCGAGTGTCTGTATGATATACTACGCGGCCGCCTCGTTGAAGAAAAAATCTTCGTCCAATACGAGGTGAGTAATCGCTGTCCTGATATCCAGAAGCTCTTTTTGGTTATAAGAAACGATGGCAGAAACATTATGTACAGAATAAATTACAAATAACGCGGAAAAACACACATAATAGTACAAATGGTTAGAGGGCTGTAAAACGGCAGCCATCTTCTCCGGCGCTGTTCAATGTTGTTATGTAGGATGTAGGACCACAATGACAAATATTTGAGGTATTAATGAAAATAATTGCCAGTAATTACAAAATATAGGTTTTAAGAATACAAACAAAATATATTTTTAAGATTGAGATATAGCCTACATTGGGCCAATATCAATCCAAGCTCCTTTTGAAGCCCGTCTCCTTTTGAAGCCCGTCTCCTTTTGAAGCCCGTCTCCTTTTGAAGCCCGTCTCCTTTTGAAGCCCGTCTCCTTTTGAAGCCCGTCTCCTGAAGAAGCCCGTCTCCTGAAGAAGCCCGTCTCCTTTTGAAGCCCGTCTCCTTTTGAAGCCCGTCTCCTGAAGAAGCCCGTCCCCTGAAGAAGCCCGTCCCCTGAAGAAGCCCGTCCCCTGAAGAAGCCCGTCTCCTGAAGAAGCCCGTCCCCTGAAGAAGCCCGTCCCCTGAAGAAGCCCGTCTCCTGAAGAAGCCCGTCTCCTGAAGAAGCCCGTCCCCTGAAGAAGCCCGTCCCCTGAAGAAGCCCGTCCCCTGAAGAAGCCCGTCCCCTGAAGAAGCCCGTCTCCTGAAGAAGCTCTGTTTTTCACCATGTTTGCATACTACTGAGGCTGAGGGACAGGGAAGAAATCATTACAATAATTATTACCTGGGTGTTTATAGGGGCACTGGTGCTCCCAAATAAATTAGGTAGCAAGATATTTAAGAGCGTATGCCCCCAAAATGGTAACAACGACGAGCCCTGACAGGGTGAGTTCAGTGATGCAGCGAGGCTAATGTTAAACTGTTATATCGGTTGAATGTTGGCAGTGGACTGACCTCTGGATGAACTACTACTAGACTGAAGACTGACTGACCTTTGGATTAACTACTACTGTCATTATGTCACATGGCAGCTAGTGGCCATCTATTTCTGCCCTACATAGCCCTGGTCAAATGTAGTGCACAGGGAGGGGAAAAAGGATTTGATCCCCTGGTGATTTTGTACGTTTGCCCACTGACAAAGAAATGATCAGTCTATAATTTTAATGGTAGGTTTATTTGAACAGTGAGAGACAGAATAACAACAAAAAAATCCAGAAAAACGCATGTCAAAAATGTTATAAATTGATTTGCATTTTAATGAGGGAAATAAGTATTTGACCCCCTCTCAATCAGAAAGATTTCTAACTCCCAGGTGACTTTTCTACAGGTAACGAGCTGAGATTAGGAGCACACTCTTAAAGGGAGTGCTCCTAATCTCAGCTTGTTACCTGTATAAAAGACACCTGTCCACAGAAGCAATCAATCAGATTCCAAACTCTCCGCCATGGCCAAGACCCAAAGAGCTCTCCAAGGATGTCAGGGACAAGATTGTAGACCTACACAAGGCTGGAATGGGCTACAAGACCATCGCCAAGCAGCTTGGTGAGAAGGTGACAACAGTTGGTGCGATTATTCGCAAATGGAAGAAACACAAAATAACTGTCAATCTCCCTCGGCCTGGGGGTTTATGCAAGATCTCACCTCGTGGAGTTGCAATGATCATGAGAACGGTGAGGAATCAGCTCAGAACTACACGGGAGGATCTTGTCAATGATCTCAAAGCAGCTGGGACCATAGTCACCAAGAAAACAATTGGTAACACTACGCCGTGAAGGACTGAAATCCTGCAGCGGTCCCCCTGCTCAAGAAAGCACATATACAGGCCCGTCTGAAGTTTGCCAATGAACAACTGAATGATTCAGAGGAGAACTGGGTGAAAGTGTTGTGGTCAGATGAGACCAAAATCGAGCTCTTTGGCATCAACTTAACTCGCCGTGTTTGGAGGAGGAGGAATGCTGCCTATGACCCCAAGAACACCATCCCCACCGTCAAACATGGAGGTGTTTTTCTGCTAAGGGGACAGGACAACTTCACCGCATCAAAGGGACGATGGACGGGGCCATGTACCGTCAAATCTTGGTGAGAACCTCCTTCCCTCAGCCAGGGCATTGAAAATGGGTTGTGGATGGGTATTCCAGCATGACAATGACCCAAAACACACGGCCAAGGCAACAAAGGAGTGGCTCAAGAAGAAGCACATTAAGGTCCTGGAGTGGCCTAGCCAGTCTCCAGACCTTAATCCCATAGAAAATCTGTGGAGGGAGCTGAAGGTTCGAGTTGCCAAACGTCAGCCCTGAAACCTTAATGACTTGGAGAAGATCTGCAAAGAGGAGTGGGACAAAATCCCTCCTGAGATGTGTGCAAACCTGGTGGCCAACTACAAGAAACGTCTGACATCTGTGATTGCCAACAAGGGTTTTGCCCAAAACAAGTCATGTTTTGCAGAGGGGTCAAATACTTATTTCCCTCATTAAAATGCAAAATCAATTTATAACATTTTTGACATGCGTTTTTCTGGATTTTTTTGTTGTTATTCTGTCTCTCACTGTTCAAATAACCAACCATTAAAATTATAGACTGATCATGTCTTTGTCAGTGGGCAAACGTACAAAATCAGCAGGGGATCAAATACTTTATTCCCTCACTGTACATGGAATCTGCCCTGGTCAAAAGTAGTGCACTATACAGTGGGGGAAAAAGTATTTAATCAGCCACCAATTGTGCAAGTTCTCCCACTTAAAAAGATGAGAGAGGCCTGTAATTTTCATCATAGGTACACGTCAACTATGACAGACAATTTGAGAGAAAGATATTCCAGAAAATCACATTGTAGGATTTTTTATGAATTTATTTGCAAATTATGGTGGAAAATAAGTATTTGGTCACCTACAAACAAGCAAGATTTCTGGCTCTCACAGACTTGTAACTTCTTCTTTAAGGGGCTCCTCTGTCCTCCACTCGTTACCTGTAATAATGGCACCTGTTTGAACTTGTTATCAGTATAAAAGACACCTGTCCACAACCTCAAACAGTCACACTCCAAACTCCACTATGGCCAAGACCAAAGAGCTCTCAAAGGACACCAGAAACAAAATTGTAGACCTGCACCAGGCTGGGAAGACTGAATCTGCAATAGGTAAGCAGCTTGGTTTGAAGAAATCAACTGTGGGAGCAATTATTAGGAAATGGAAGACATACAAGACCACTGATAATCTCCCTCGATCTGGGGCTCCACGCAAGATCTCACCCCGTGGGGTCAAAATGATCACAAGAACGGTGAGCAAAAATCCCAGAACCACACGGGCAGACCTAGTGAATGACCTGCAGAGAGCTGGGACCAAAGTAACAAAGCCTACCATCAGTAACACACTATGCCGCCAGGGACTCAAATCCTGCAGTGCCAGACGTGTCCCCCTGCTTAAGCCAGTACATGTCCAGGCCCGGTCTGAAGTTTGCTAGAGTGCATTTGGATGATCCAGAAGAGGATTGGGAGAATGTCAGATGAAACCAAAATATAACTTTTTGGTAAAAACTCAACTCGTCGTGTTTGGAGGACAAAGAATGCTGAGTTGCATCCAAAGAACACCATACCTACTGTGAAGCATGGGGGTGGAAACATCATGCTTTGGGGCTGTTTTTCTGCAAAGGGACCAGGACGACTGATCCGTGTAAAGGAAAGAATGAATGGGGCCATGTATCGTGAGATTTTGAGTGAAAACCTCCTTCCATCAGCAAGGGCATTGAAGATGAAACGTGGCTGGGTCTTTCAGCATGACAATGATCCCAAACACACCGCCCGGGCAACGAAGGAGTGGCTTCGTAAGAAGCATTTCAAGGTCCTGGAGTGGCCTAGCCAGTCTCCAGATCTCAACCCCATAGAAAATCTTTGGAGGGAGTTGAAAGTCTGTTTCCCAGCGACAGCCCCAAAACATCACTGCTCTAGAGGAGATCTGCATGGAGGAATGGGCCAAAATACCAGCAACAGTGTGTGAAAACCTTGTGAAGACTTACAGAAAACGTTTGACCTGTGTCATTGCCAACAAAAGTTATATAACAAAGTATTGAGAAACTTTTGTTATTGACCAAATACTTATTTTCCACCATAATTTGCAAATAAATTCATAAAAAATCCTACAATGTGATTTTCTGGATTTTTTTCTCATTTTGTCTGTCATAGTTGATGTGTACCTATGATGAAAATTACAGGCCTCATCTTTTTAAGTGGGAGAACTTGCACAATTGGTGCAAATTAATTACTTAAAAATCATACAATGTGATTTTCTGGATTTTTGTTTTAGATTCCGTCTCTCACAGTTGAAGTGTACCAATGATAAAAATTACAGACCTCTACATGCTTTGTAAGTAGGAAAACCTGCAAAATCGGCAGTGTATCTAATACTTGTTCTCCCCACTGTGTGTGTGTGTGTATATATATATATATATATATATATATATATATATATATATATATATATACTTTTTTTTTGTTGGTATTCTTAACTGCATTGTTGGTTAAGGGCTTGTAAGTAAGCATTTCATTAAGGTCTACACCTGTTGTATTCGGCGCATGTGACAAATAAGATTTGATTTTAGACCTACGCTACATCTTAATTTACCCAGTTTCAGAGATTTACCGTTCAAATAAATGATAACCTTTGTAGTTAGATTGGTAAAAACAAAGTCACATTTATTGTATAATTGATTCATTAATGACTGTCTCTAGAAGATATTAATAATGTTCAAAAGTAATGATATTGAACTCAAAAGATGCCCAATGATTGAACAGAGCAGTAGCTGAGTTTCTGTCTGGATCAAGTGGCATTCTGGGACTTTGGTTAAATGCCTTCTTTTTTTGGCTGTGGTATCGTTTTGGTATGGAGTATCATGATGGAATCGAGTATTGTGATACTCGACCTGGGATCGAAGTCAGAATTCTGGGATGGTGATAACACTACTAGGTAGTGGAGAGAATCCCAGGATATCAACATATTTGGGCTTGGTCGGGTTCATACATAATACTGTTCTTGCTGGAGTGGTCTGCCAGTCTTCAACCCTCTCACTTCAACACAGGGACGAGAGGCTGGTTTTTGGTCACACACACCTGGAACTAAGCTTTTAACATTTTAATAGGCCTATTTGACCAGATATACATGCATGATAACCCCTATTCCGCCTGTTGCTAAGGGTAACTGCCTGGTTGTTAAACGTCACCACATGGTCAGATGAGGATTGGGTGGGGCCTGTTATGTTAATGAGTGCTGGGAGGTAAACTACTGTTGTACTGTATCTTCTATACCACGTCAATGTTTGGGCCTAGTTGCCTTTCTACAGGGTTAGTCAGGGTGAGGGGTTAAGGTGTGTAATATTCATATTATATTCTATTATTCAGGTTGTTCAGACGTTGGAGGACCACCACCAGGAGGTGCTGTCTCTCTACAGGGACTTTGGTTTCTGCGGCCTGATCGCCCAGGACTCAGAGTTTGCCCTCTGCAACGTGCCCGCCTACTTCTCCTCGCACGCGCTCAAACTGTCCTGGAACGGCAAGAACCTGACCACCCACCAGTACCTGCTCTCTGAAGCTGCCAGACAGCTGGGTCTGAAGACACAACACCTGCCCTGCTTCGCTGCTCTGCTGGGTAGGTACCTAATTAACCTAAACGTGAAGGGTCTGAAGACACAACACCTGCCCTGCTTCGCTGCTCTGCTGGGTAGGTGCAGTGCCTTCAGAAAGTACTCATACCCATTGTCTTGTTCCACATTTTGTGTTAAAGCCTGAATTCCAAATGGATGAAATATATTTTTTCTCTCTCACCGATCTACACACAATACCCCATAATAACAAAGTTAAAACATGTTTTTAGAAATGTTTGCACATTTATTGAAAATGAAATACAGAAATATCTTATTTCCATAAGTATCCACACCCCTGAGTCAACCCTTTGGCAAATAAAAGATCCCAGAGATGTTCAATTACGCACAAAAAGCTTATTTCTGTCAAATGTTGTTTACAAATTTGTTTACATCCCTGTTAGTGAGCATTTATCCTTTGCCAAGGTAATCCATCCACCTGACAGGTGTGGCATATCAAGAAGCTGATTAAACAGCATGATCAGTACACTGGTGCACCTTGTGCTGGGGACAAGAAAAGGCCACTCTAAAATGTGCAGTTTTGTCATATAACACAATGCCACACGTCTCAAGTTTTGAGGGAGCGTGCAATTGGCATGCTGACTGCTGGAATGTCCACCAGAGCTGTTACCAGAGAATTGAATGTTCATTTCTCTACCATAACCGCCTCCAACGTAATTTTTGAGAATTTGGCAGTACATCCAACCGGCCTCACAACCGCAGCCATCGTGTAATCTATGAACGTTTGAACATCTTGAAGAACAGTCTGGCCTTAATGGTCATGCACTCTTATAATCACCACCCAGCACAGCCAGAAGATGACTGGTCACCCCTCAGAGCCTGGTTCCTCTCTAGGTTCCTGCCTTTCGAGGTGCATCGGACCTACTGTTACCCAACATTAGGAAGCTAGCTAAATGCATGATGTCCACAATAACAAAGCAGGTAGCTAGCAGCGAATAAGCCTGTATAGTCCAGTCAAAAACCAACTTGCACATGTTTTGTGGTCCTCTGTAGCTCAGCTGGTAGAGCACGGCGCTTGTAACGCCAAGGTAGTGGGTTCGATCCCCGGGACCACCCATACACAAAAATGTATGCACGCATGACTGTAAGTCGCTTTGGATAAAAGCGTCTGCTAAATGGCATATTATTATTATTATTATTATTATTATGTGTTTGTGTTCATTCAGCGAGCAAGGTCTAGCTGTGTTAAACATTACAGTCGTTCTGACATGGACCGTCGGATCGAACTGTGTTAGCTAGGGGTGTGAACGTTTAAACTAAGTTGATCCTTCCAAACTAAGAAATCCATAACCGAAATCCATATTTGTACTCCCCTCCGTGTTATAGCCGATAGGCTAGAAAAGCCTTGTGAAGTTGTGTAACATGAAACCTCTGATCATATGAACGGACATTTTACTTCCCTGTAAAGGAATGCTGCTTCTAAAGCAGGACTAAAGTCCATCACTAGGCAACCAGAACTGTCAATCAAATAATCTCGAGCTGCTGCCCGCAGCCACCCTCTCCTAAGAAAGTACTTTAAAGTTTGTTAAATAGTGTGACATTTAGTAGAAATAAAACCCATCTAGCTACCCTACCATTAAACACCACAGTAGCACATCAATCAGCGACGTTTATTGTTGTCAGGGAAACGATACAGAACATTTTACGCCAGAGCAGAATTCTGTCTGAAAGGTGCAGCACTTTTTTTTTTTATTGTCTGAAAAGTTATCAATTGTCGCTATCGACATGTTTCTGTAGCTGCGTTTTGTAAAGGGTTGCGGTAGATGCGTTCTTTGCCCGGCCCTAGCCGTCATACATTATTCTGTAAATTGACGAGAAATGTAATTTTTTTTTCTTAGTTTTAACAGAAAACCGATAAAACAATGGCCATTTTAAACATTAAGCAGAATTGTCAATTTGTCACATCCCTAGTGTTAGCCGACGTTAGCAAGCTAACTAGCTAACAGCAAAAAAGGTTAGAAAGCCAACTGCATGGTAATGCCCACAATAGTCACTTTTGACTGTGAACACTATGCATAACACGGTATTCAACATGGTTTGCAGTGAGGGACTTCCAATGTGCCAAACCTACGAGCAAGCTAGCTGAGCTAGAAACAGTTGGCTAGAAAAACAATAATTCAGTCAATGCTAGCTAGCTCACTGTTCTGAAAGAGTTAGCTACAGACGTAGGATTAACAGCTCACCCTGCACTACCAGCTCAAATGTAAATATTGCTGTCATGTCTACCTCTAAGCCTCCCAGTAAAGCAATAAAAACAATCAAGAATCCCAGAAAAGTGCTCAAAATAGCCCATATCAACATATGTAGCAAAATAAACAAGGTTAATGAAATCGATAACTTGCTAGCAACAGAAAGCGATCATATACTGGCTATCTCTGACACTCACTTAGGCAATTCCTTTGATACAGTGGTAGAAATACAGTGGGGGAAAAAAGTATTTAGTCAGCCACCAATGGTCCAAGTTCTCCCACTTAAAAAGATGAGAGGCCTGTAATTTTCATCATAGGTACACGTCAACTATGACAGACAAAATGAGGAAAAAAATCCAGAAAATCACATTGTAGGATTTTTTATGATTTTATTAGCAAATTATGGTGGAAAATAAGTATTTGGTCACCTACAAACAAGCAAGATTTCTGGCTCTCACAGACCTGCAACTTCTTCTTTAAGAGGCTCCTCTGTCTTCCACTCGTTACCTGTATTAATGGCACCTGTTTGAACTTGTTATCAGTATAAAAGACACCTGTCCACAACCTCAAACAGTCACACTCCAAACTCCACTATGGCCAAGACCAAAGAGCTGTCAAAGGACACCAGAAACAAAATTGTAGACCTGCACCAGGCTGGGAAGACTGAATCTGCAATAGGTAAGCAGCTTGGTTTGAAGAAATCAACTGTGGGAGCAATTATTAGGAAATGGAAGACATACAAGACCACTGATAATCTCCGGGCTCCACGCAAGATCTCACCCCGTGGGGTCAAAATGATCACAAGAACAGTGAGCAAAAGTCCCAGAACCACACAGGGGGACCTAGTGAATGACCTGCAGAGAGCTGGGACCAAAGTAACAAAGCCTACCATCAGTAACACACTACGCCGCCAGGGACTCAAATCCTGCAGTGCCAGACGTGTCCCCCTGCTTAAGCCAGTACATGTCCAGGCCCGTCTGAAGTTTGCTAGAGTGCATTTAGATGATCCAGAAGAGGATTGGGAGAATGTCATATAGTCAGATGAAACCAAAATATAACTTTTTGATAAAAACTCAACTTGTCGTTTTTGGAGGACAAAGAATGCTGAGTTGCATCCAAAGAACACCATACCTACTGTGAAGCATGGGGGTGGAAACATCATGCTTTGGGGCTGTTTTTCTGCAAAGGGACCAGGACGACTGATCCGTGTAAAGGAAAGAATGAATGGGGCCATGTATCGTGAGATTTTGAGTGAAAACCTCCTTCCATCAGCAAGTGCATTGAAGATGAAACGTGGCTGGGTATTTCAGCATGACAATGATCCCAAACACACCGCCCGGGCAACGAAGGAGTGGCTTCGTAAGAAGCATTTCAAGGTCCTGGAGTGGCCTAGCCAGTCTCCAGATCTCAACCCCATAGAAAATCTTTGGAGGGAGTTGAAAGTCCGTGTTGCCCAGCGACAGCCCCAAAACATCACTGCATGGAGGAATGGGCCAAAATACCAGCAACAGTGTGTGAAAACCTTGTGAAGACTTACAGAAAACGTTTGACCTGTGTCATTGCCAACAAAGGGTATATAACAAAGTATTGAGAAACTTTTGTTATTGACCAAATACTTATTTTCCACCATAATTTGCAAATAAAATCATAAAAAATAAGCAAACACGTTTGGTGTTCGTCAAAAGGCATGTGGGAGACTCCCCAAACATATAGAGGAAGGTACTCTGGTCAGATGAGACTAAAATTGAGCTTTTTGGCCATCAAGGAAAACGCTATGTCATCGGCAGGGACTGGGAAACTGGTCAGAATTGAAGGAATGATGGATGGCGCTAAATACAGGGAAAGTCTTAAGGGAAACCTGTTTCAGTCTTCCAGAGATTTGAGCCTGGGACAGAGGTTCACCTTCCAGCAGGACAATGACCCTAAGCATACTGCTAAAGCAACACTCGAGTGGTTTAAGGGGAAACATTTAAATATCTTGGAATAGCCTAGTCAAAGCCCAGACCACAATCCAATTGAGAATCTGTGGTATGACTTAAAGATTGCTGTACACCAGCGGAACCCATCCAACTTGAAGGAGCTGGAGCAGTTTTGCCTTAAATTTTGCCATAAATCCCAGCTGTAATTACTGCAAAAGGTGGCACTACAAAGCTAGATGTGCCAAGCTTATAGAGACATACCCCAAGAGACTTGCAGCTGTAATTACTAAAAAAGGTGGCTCTACAAAGGATTGACTTTGGGGGGGAGGTGTGTGGTGAATAGTTTTGCACTCAAGTTTTCTGTATTTTGGTCTTATTTCTTATTTTTCACAAATAATATTTTGAAGTTCAAAGTGGTAGGCATGTTGTGTAAATCAAATGATACAAACCCCCCCAAAATCCATTTAAATTCCAGGTTGTAAGGCAACAAAATAGGAAAAATGCCAAGGGGGGTGAATACTTTCGCAAGCCACTGTATATGTGAAATGCTTGATAATGTATTATCAATGTATTATTAACAGAGGTATATTTTCTGGGTGACTGGCTTTTAGCATGTTGTCCACTCGAGGAAAAAGCTTCAAACTGTAACCAGTGCCTGCAACCTGGTTCAGGTTATCAGTATTGACCACATCTTTACTAATGCTGCAGAAATCTACTCTAAAGCCATATCCACATCCATCAGAATATAATAGCCATTTCTAGGAAAATCTATGTTCCAAAGACTGGACCTAAAATAGTGTGTAAGTGATCAGACAAGAGGATTACAGTGATTCCGATGTTGAAGATGTGAAAAATATTTGTTGGTCTGATGTGTGTAATGAGGAACATTCTGACGCTGCGCTAGAAGGATTTATGAAATTGCTTCTTCCGGATATTGATCGGTATGCTCCCATAAAGAAACAGACTGTTAAAACTGCCAAATCCCCATGGATAGATGATGAATTGAAAAACTATGGCTGAGAGGGATGAGGCTAAAGGAATGGCAAGTCTGCAACACAGCAGATTGGCAAACATACAGTACATTGAAAATTACCTAACTTAACAAAAATAAACTATACTATGGAACAAAGAGAAATGTAAGGAATAATAGTAAAAAGCTCTTGAGTAACTTAAATGAAATTCTAGGCAGAAAAGCTCCATCCTTCAACTCGGCGCCGTCCTTCATAGAGGCAGATCACCTTAACTTTCCTAAAATGTCTGTTCATCTTTAATCGATTTAACTGTGCCCATCCCTAACACACCTTTTATACATATTCTCTCTGTTTACTACAGGTCCCCCCCCCCCAATAGGGAACCATATTCTCTCTGTTTACTACAGGTCTCCCCCCAATAGGGAACCATATTCTCTCTGTTTACTACAGGTCTCTCTCTCCCCCCAATAGGGAACCATATTCTCCCTGATGAGGACCTGGCTGCCTTCCACTGGAGCCTTTTAGGACCAGAACACCCCCTGGCCTCACTCAAGGTATAACCCCTTACCTCTAACCCTTCCATTGGAGTCTGTTAGGACCTGTCTGACCTCTGACCCCTTACCTTTAACCCTTCCATTGGAGTCTGTTAGGACCTGTCTGACCCCTTACCTCTAACCCTTACATTGGAGTCTGTTAGGACCTGTCTGACCTCTGACCCCTTACCTCTAACCCTTCCATTGGAGTCTGTTAGGCCTACGTCCCATGGTCTTAGACCTCTGACCTCTGACCCCTTACCTCTAACCCTTCCATTGGAGTCTGTTAGGACCTGTCTGACCTCTGACCCCTTACCTCTAACCCTTCCATTGGAGTCTGTTAGGACCTGTCTGACCTCTGACCCCTGACCTCTAACCCTCTAGGTCCGTGCCCACCAGTTGGTCCTGCCTCCCTGTGAGGTGGTTATCAAGGCGGTGTCAGAGTACGTCTCCTCCATCAAACATCTGGGGAACCTCGACGCTGTTGCCAGGGACGTCTTCAAACAATCACAGGTACACATTTAAATACTTTTTTTGGATCAAGAAATCAAATTACAGTCCAGAAGGATTCAAATGTGTAGAGCCTGTGGTCTAGTGCGAATATCCTTGCTCTAGACAAATATACTCCCCACCGGAGACCGGGGTTCAATCCCCACCACCCCGTCGACGCCTCTGTGATTTCGTAACTGTCTAAATAAGATGCATGGACCCTTATGGAAACAGATGCACCTTGTTCTCCATACAGCTAGACTGACCATAACAGCTGAAACTGAGCAGTACCTTCTCCATACAGCTAGACTGACCATAACAGCTGAAACAGAGCAGCACCTTCTCCTCCATACAGCTAGACTGACCATAACAGCTGAAACAGAGCAGTACCTTCTCCTCCATACAGCTAGACTGGCCATAACAGCTGAAACAGAGCAGTACCTTCTCCATACAGCTAGACTGACCATAACAGCTGAAACAGAGCAGTACCTTCTCCTCCATACAGCTAGACTGACCATAACAGCTGAAACAGAGCAGTACCTTCTCCATACAGCTAGACTGACCATAACAGCTGAAACAGAGCAGCACCTTCTCCTCCATACAGCTAGACTGACCATAACAGCTGAAACAGAGCAGTACCTTCTCCTCCATACAGCTAGACTGACCATAACAGCTGAAACAGAGCAGTACCTTCTCCATACAGCTAGACTGACCATAACAGCTGAAACAGAGCAGTACCTTCTCCATACAGCTAGACTGACCATAACAGCTGAAACAGAGCAGTACCTTCTCCATACAGCTAGACTGACCATAACAGCTGAAACAGAGCAGTACCTTCTCCTCCATACAGCTAGACTGACCATAACAGCTGAAACAGAGCAGTACCTTCTCTCCATACAGCTAGACTGACCATAACAGCTGAAACAGAGCAGTACCTTCTCCATACAGCTAGACTGACCATAACAGCTGAAACAGAGCAGTACCTTCTCCATACAGCTAGACTGACCATAACAGCTGAAACAGAGCAGTACCTTCTCCATACAGCTAGACTGACCATAACAGCTGAAACAGAGCAGTACCTTCTCCATACAGCTAGACTGACCATAACAGCTGAAACAGAGCAGTACCTTCTCCTCCATACAGCTAGACTGACCATAACATCTGAAACAGAGCAGTACCTCCTCCATACAGCTAGACTGACCATAACAGCTGAAACAGAGCAGTACCTTCTCCTCCATACAGCTAGACTGACCATAACAGCTGAAACAGAGCAGTACCTTCTCCTCCATACAGCTAGACTGACCATAACAGCTGAAACAGAGCAGTACCTTCTCCATACAGCTAGACTGACCATAACAGCTGAAACAGAGCAAGTACTCTGCTAGCTGATTTGCCTTTGTCCTATGCAGGCCTGCAATCTATATGCCATGTACCTTAAGCATAGACTGCCAAATATCAGTTCCACTAGCTTACTAGCTATCTGTCACCTCTCTTTCTCTCCCGTTCTCTCCCGTTCTCTCCCCGTTCTCTCCCGTTCTCTCTCTTTCTCTCCAGTCTCGTATAGAGGATAAAGTGGGACTTTTTAAGAAGGCTGTGGAATATTTCTCTGCTGCCTCTAAACCCCGCCCCCTCTCCATGGGACCCTCCCCCTACCTTTGTGAGTAACTCTGCCATTGGCTAAAGCCACCTTACTCAAACCTCTCCTCGGGGACCTCCAGCAGTTCCATCCAGAGCTAGCACACGTGATTCAACTTGTCAACTAATCATCAACCACCTGACTAGTTCAATCAGGTGAGCTAGTCCCAACAACATTGTGAGACGTCTGTGGGTCCTCGAGTAGAGGACTGAGAAGCACTGGGCTAAGGCACCTGCCAGTCATATCTACTGTTGTCAGAAAACAAGTGTTTTTCCTCTGTAATCGTTAGGCTTGCTAAACTGGATGTGTAAATGTATCTTTCTGTGTGTGATGCCAGGGTTTGGTCCGACTCCTTTTGGCGGTCTTCCTGGCCACATGGGGGCAATGCAGCCTGGAAAGAACCAGGTAGGAGTCACATGTCTCTGATGTACAGTGCCTTCAGAAAGTATTTAAACCCATTCACAATTCCACATACTGTCTCTCTGATACTGTCTCTCTGATACTGTCTCTCTGATAATGTCTCTCTGATACTGTCTCTGTCTCTGTGTCTCTGATAGTGTCTCTCTGATACTGTCTCTGTCTCTGATACTGTCTCTCTCTCTGTGTCTCTGATAGTGTCTCTCTGATACTGTCTCTCTGATAATGTCTCTCTGATACTGTCTCTGTCTCTCTCTCTGTCTCTCTGATACTGTCTCTGTCTCTGATACTGTCTCTGTCTCTCTGTGTCTCTGATAGTGTCTCTCTGATACTGTCTCTCTCTGTCTCTCTCTCTCTGTCTCTCTGATACTGTCTCTGTCTCTCTGATACTGTCTCTCTGATACTGTCTCTGTCTCTCTGATACTGTCTCTGTCCTCTCTGATATCTGTCCTCTCTGTCCTCTCTCTGTCTCTCTGGTGTCTCTGATAGTGTTCTCTCTGATACTGTCCCTCCTCTGTCTCTGTCCTCTTCTGAGACTGTCTCTGTCCTCTCTGTCTCTCTTGATCACTGTCCTCCGGTCTCTCTGTCCTCTGATACTGTCTCTCTGATACTGTCCTCCTCTTGGCTTTCTCTGATACTGTCTCTGGCTCCTCTGTCTCTCTATCCTGTCTCTCTGATACTGTCCTCTCTCGTGGTCTCGGATAGTGTCTCTCTGAGACCTGTCTCCTCTGATAATGTCCCTCTGATTCGGTCTCTGTCTCTCTCTCTGTCCCAGTCTCTCTGATACTGCCTGTCCTCTGATACTGTCCTGTCTCTCGATACTGTCTCTGTCTTCTCGCTGATACCCTGTCTCTCTGATACTGTCTCTGTCCTTCTCTGATACTGTCTCTGTCTCCTGATACTGTCCCTCTCTGATACTGTTGCTCTCTGATCTCTCTGTCTCCTGTCTGTCTCTCCTGATACTGTCTTCTGTCTCTCTGATACTGTCTGTCTCTCTGATACTGTCTGTCTCTCTGATACTGTCTCTCTCTGATACTGTCTGTCTCTCTGATACTGTCTGTCTCTCTGATACTGTCCTGTCTCTCTGATACTGTCTGTCTCTCTGATACTGTCTCTCTCTCTGATACTGTCTCTCTCTCTGATACTGTCTCTGTCTCTCTCGGATACTGTCTGTCTCTCGGATACTGTCTGTCTCTCGGATACTGTCTGTCTCTCGGATACTGTCTGTCTCTCGGATACTGTCTGTCTCTCGGATACTGTCTGTCTCTCGGATACTGTCTGTCTCTCGGATACTGTCTTCCTCGTCTCTCTCTCTGATACTGTCTGTCTCTCTGATACGTCTGTCCTCTGATACTGTCTGTCTCTCTGATACTGTCTGTCTCTGATACTGTCTGTCTCTCGGATACTGTCTGTCTCTGATCTCTTCGCTCGATACTGTCTGTCTCTCGATACTGTCTGTCTCTCGATACTGTCTGTCTCTCGATACTGCTGTCTCTCGATACTGTCTGTCTCTCGATACTGTCTGTCTCTCTGGATACTGTCTGTCTCTTCTGTACGTCTGCTCTCGATACTGTCTGTCTCTCGATACTGTCTTCTCTCGATACTGTCTGTCTCTCGATACTGTCTGTCTCTCGTCTGTCTCTCTCGATACTGTCTGTCTCTCGGATACTGTCTGTCTCTCGGATACTGTCTGTCTCTCGGATACTGTCTGTCTCTCGATACTGTCTGTCTCTCGGATACTGTCTGTCTCTCTGATACTGTCTGTCTCTCTGTCACTGTCCGTCTCCTCTCTGATACTGTCTCTCTGTACTGTCTCTCTGATTCTGTCTCTCTCTCTGTCTCTCTGATACTGTCTGTCTCTCTGATACTGTCTGTCTCTCTGATACTGTCTGTCTCTCTGATACTGTCTGTCTCTCTGATACTGTCTCTCTGTCTCTCTGATTCTGTCTCTGTCTCTCTGATACTGTCTCTCTGATACTGTCTCTCTCTCTCTGATACTGTCCCTCTGATACTGTCTCTCTGATACTGTCTCTCTGATACTGTCTCTCTCTCTCTGATACTGTCTCTGTCTCTCTGATACTGTCTCTGTCTCTCTCTCTGTCTCTCTGATACTGTCTCTGTCTCTCTCTCTGTCTCTCTGATACTGTCTCTGTCTCTCTCTCTGTCTCTCTGATACTGTCTGTCTCTCTGATACTGTCTGTCTCTCGGATACTGTCTCTCTGATACTGTCTGTCTCTCGGATACTGTCTCTCTGATACTGTCTGTCTCTCGGATACTGTCTCTCTGATACTGTCTGTCTCTCTGATACTGTCTCTCTGATACTGTCTGTCTCTCGGATACTGTCTCTCTGATACTGTCCCTCTGATACTGTCTCTCTCTCTCTGTCTCTCTCTCTGTCTCTCTGATACTGTCTGTCTCTCTGATACTGTCTCTCTGTGTCTCTGATACTGTCTCTCTCTGTCTCTCTGATACTGTCTCTCTCTCTGATACTGTCTCTCTCTCTGTCTCTCTCTCGGTCTCTCTGATACTGTCTCTCTGTCTCGTGTGTCTCTGTCTCTCTGATACTGTCTCTCTCTCTGTCTCTCTCTCTGTCTCTCTCTCTGTCTCTCTCTCTGTCTCTCTCTCTGTCTCTCTCTCTGTCTCTCTCTCTGTCCCTCTCTCGGTCTCTCTGATACTGTTTCTCTGTCTCGTGTGTCTCTGTCTCTCTGTCTCGTGTGTCTCTGTCTCTCTGTTTCTCTGTCTCTCTGTCTCTCTCTCTGTCTCATGTGTCTCTGTCTCGTGTGTCTCTGTCTCTCTGTGGGTGTCTCTCTGTGTCTCTGTCTCTCTGTGGGTGTCTCTCTGTCTCTGTCTCTCTGTCTCGTGTGTCTCTGTCTCTCTGTGGGTGTCTCTCTGTCTCGTGTGTCTCTGTCTTTCTGTGGGTGTTTCTCAAAATGCATATTACCGTGCTCTGCAAGTTGGAGCATGAGTCCAAATCAAAGTATAAGAAACGGAGCACGGAATGCACTTCTCGAATGCGTACTCTGTTTGTATATATATTGAAGCATGCGTTGATGCAAACTTCAACAGAAAGAATGCAAAGAAATATGACGCAACCACTTAAAAAGTAATGCTAATTTTCTTGAAATCAATGGTGGCCATTATTTGAGCTGAAGGGAGAGAAGATACACTGACTTGATGTGAATAGGCGATATTTCATTCCCTTGTTGCCTGACTACAATATTTTATCTTGATACGTTAATAAATACATGCTGTGTTCATTTTAGCACGCTTACCTGCCTACACTACCCACTGTAGCTAACTACTACAGTGAGCCAGATGGCCACGAAGAACTGATATCTACTGCACCTTGCATAACTAGTT